AACTTATTCGAGATGATCGAACTCACCCACTCACCTATACCCAAGATCATCTCTACAAGATTCAAATACAATTACCGCTTTAAAAGAATGACGTAAGAGTTTATCTGAGTACCACGTGATGGGAGCAGAGGTGGGAAGGACTGGCACCAGCAGTTGTTATTTCGGAACTTTCTAAATACTTTTGAAGGTATTTAGACTTTAAAATACATGGCCACAGAGTGGAAAAAGAGGGGACAGAATAAATACATAAACAAGTTATATAATTTATTGTTAGAGTTGGGATTAGAAAAAAAGTACAGATGAATCTTATTTGTTCTTTCAGTTAAACATCTTTATAAAGGATGATGTACAACGCAAGACTTGGTACATACTTGTAAGTCAATAAGAGATACATTTTAAAATTATTTTAAAATAAACATAATGCCCAAAAAGTGTGGCCTATCAAAGTTATACTTTTGTGGAAAACCCAATATTTTATTGCATTTTTGATCAGACATTATTACTATCTGTAGTGATCATAGCAATAAATTTAGACCAAACAAAAACTTTTTTAGTGTCTATAAATGAACAAAAATGTATGGCGTTCTATAACAAAAATCATAGTTTTTTCTCGGATATTTTAAATATATTGAAATGTAGCTCTTAAGTTACATATATCCAAAGAATTTTGTTCTAAATTGTTACCTTAGACACCTAATTTTTTTCTTTATTTTTAAAATTTTTTAAAACATATTTTTTATTTCTTTAGGTCTTGTACAATTTTATTCTTCTCTTAACAATATCCCTCGATTTTCAGTTAATTACCTCGGAAAGAGCGAGCGAGCAGCGTTAATGCTTGTGTACATATGTTCGGCAACTGAGATGTGACGTTCTGTGTTAACCGCAATGAAACTAGAGACATCTGTCAAACCGCAATAACACCACCGTCGAGTTTAAACAAAACCTTCGAAGTGGCAGACAATGCAACCCGTCAAAGGACGTCCAATTTAGGACAAATTCTTGTGCGTACAAAGGGATCCGCCGGCATAGATAATTTGACATTGTATTCTGATTGAGAGAGTAATCTCCGCTTTAAAGTACGCTGTGGGATGCTTACTTTTCTGCCAATACTGCGAATTTTTGCTGATAAAAACTGTCAATTGCTTACAAAAAAAATTAGAATCATTTAATTTAAAGAATATCTTACTCTATCAACAGATTTTTTATACCGACAGACCGTCTTGTAAATCTAATATGATATTGGAGAAGCTAACATTAGCAATTTTTCTATTTTTCCTTTCTATAACTATACAGGGTAATACAGAAAATTTATTTGAAACGCACAAATTATCAAAGAGTCCAATCATCGGACATATACCTCGGCAAAAACAGAATTTCTAAAATTCTAGTAGAATAAATATTGTTTCGCAATATTTCTTGATGTTAACCAGGCTTATAATAAAGTCTGACATATCGGCCTACTATACAAACTAAAAATTCGTACCATTAACCTACTTCTGTGTTGTTTCCTCCTAATTTCCCCCATATAGGGTAATTCGAGGACATATGGCTCAGGTTTTGAAATTTAATGTTTAAATTTTTATACGTTGAATTTAAATTGCAATTTATTTTAAAAATAAATCTTTATTGAATTTATAACATTTACTAAATAGTCAAAACTCATAAAAAAATAAAATACTTATCTTAAACAAAAAATAAAAAACGTTAACAGAAAACATCTCCTCTACATTGCTGAGGTGAGATGGTGCAACTAAAAAAGATATAGTTTTGTCAGAATATATTTTTCTTTTGCATAAAACTATACCACAATCGTGGCAAAATTTATCAAACTTGAAGCAGGAATCGTGAAACCATTTGAAGCAATGTAAACGTTTAACCCAGTCGTCAGGTTTTGTGGTTTGGGAATACGTTTCGTTACAACCAGTGCATTACTCGTTAGTGTTGTCCATATCATCTGAAGAGTCATCCTATGTCGGTTCTTCTACATTTTCATTCGAGAATGTGTTTTATTTGAAAGCATTCTTTTTAGCCACTTTCGATTTCTTTATTTTTCTAGCAGCCTTTTCTTTTTGTTTGCCAATCGTTGCCCCTGTAATTAAATGATTTGCCAGTTGCTTGCTCCTTCGTTAAACCGAATCATCGTTGGCAGAAATAACTGAAACAGGCGAGATTATATCCAGTATTTTTCCAGGAGTAGGCACAGGATTAGATACAGGAGGTCTCACATTTACTTCTGCTGACAGTTCAATTTGTATTTCTGATACTGTTCCTTTCTGCCAAATGCATTAAGGTTGTTAATTCAGCTAAAGCTTTGGGAAGATTTTGCGAACTATGATTAGGATTTTATTTATTTTCCACTACAACAGCGTCAGGTATATCAACTATGCTACTAGTTTCAGTCATCTGGAATAGCAGCTGGGTTAAATGGCACAATTCCCGTAGCCTTAAATTCCAAAATTCCATTATTAACAGTTACAGACTTGTTCCATTCTTCAGCAAGTAACTTTCCAAACTGTAATTTGGGTTCTTTTTTCTGAATAAATTGCAAGCTGAGTAGTAGTTTCATTTTAACGACCTAAAACACATCTATCCAGGGATTGCAAAAATTAAATCGAATGACTTGGTAAGCAAAATAATATAACATTGTGTTCAACACAGTATTCCAGTATCTCAACGTTACTGTACTGTGACGCATGACCATCCAGTAATAATAATACTGTCCCTGTCGGCTTTCTGGGAACAAACTGATCTTTCAGCCATTTTAAAAATATTTTGCTGTTCACATAGGCCGATTTTTCCGACATATAGACTAAGGATCCTAGGGGCATCCCATTCTCAAACTCTTGTTTTTTATTTTTGCCTTTTATTACGCAGGCAATAAAAACACCTTCCGCGTTACATCAAGCTATTACTGTGATGGTTTCTTTCTTTTCTCCAGAACTGATACTTGCCATGTTTTTTGAATTATTTTTTTACAATGACATGCCCTATTATTTAGCTGAAGGCTAGTTCCGTCAATATGTTAAATATGGCCAGGTTTGCCTACAAGGACGTTTTCGGTCAAAGTATTTTCTAAAAGATGAAAATAAACTTCAACGTCTTTTTTGTTTATTCCTAAGGATCGATTGACGGAGATCTCTTCTGCTTTTTTGGTTTTTTTTTCACAAAAATAACTGAAGCGATGTAAAACTAGCTAATTTCGATTTCTTATTAAAACGATGTTTAATGCCCAAATATATATATGGCCCAAATGCACGTCGTCAGTTCGAGTGGGAGAAAATCTGTTTTTCTGAAGTTTTAGAATATGTTTGACCAAATTTTCTTTAGTAGCTTAGCCTAAGCTGAAAAAAGGTCCAGGAGGGCTTGTCTTTACATTTTTCTTGATTTTCTTCTTCGTAGAGTTATTGTCGGTACCCTAAAATTTTGAGCAGCTCCATTAACTCCCATTCTATTTTCACTAAAGGCTTGAATGGTTTAGGTCAACAGTTGTTCGGTCCAAGTGACCCTGTAGCAACTTCCAGTCCGTTTGTATTTGTTAGGTATACTTAAAAAAAAAAAATCCTAATGGGCTATCTCACCTTAAAATTAAGTGAACCATCTATCTTCACAATAAGAGGAGAGATGGCGCACCTCATAAACTAAACACAACTTGAGATACTTGTCATTTTAAGGTTAAACAATCAAACATTAATGTTTTTACTTACTTGACTAAAATTGTGATTAATTTTAAAATTCACTAGTACATAAGTCCTTACAGCATCGGTGAAGGTCGATAAAGAAACAGAGTGGTTTGAAGACGATCGCACGAAATTGCCTACTCCTTACGAGATAGTTCCTTTTGAAATTAAAACTGAATGGTTGTATCTGCAACTGCAGCTGGACCCTCTTTCACAACTTCCCTTTGCATGGAAATGAGAAAGGACGGTTTTCGCTAAAATCTGGACACTAAGCGATTTGGACCTCAGTATATCGGAAGATTACTATCACCATGTTCCTAGTGATCCTCTAATTCAACTGGTTACTCTCTACTGTACATTGGACTCCAATACGTGCTACCTCAAAATAAATAATGTTCCCCATACATCATGATAAGTGGATCGATCTCGGAAGATGTTCTTTGTTATCAAATAGAAAAGACGCTATCCATCTTGTAGTTTCAGGGCTTTTCTAGGAGCTGGTAACTGACCTTAAAATTCTGGAAATCGCCCAAACTTCTTCCGGAACACAGATGCCAGACCTCGAGCGAAAGTTCTATGGACCAGCGAGTATTCTTGTTTTTCCGGTACCTCCATATGCACCCATAAATTCTTCGAAGACAAGGTCAGATGTTTCTTGAAACTGCAGTGGCCCATCCAGAGTTTTAAGTCTATGGGGGTAATGGTAATAAAGTTTAAGTCTGGAAGAGGTAGTGGTTATATTTCTAACCTTATTTTTGATAATACATTTTTTTACCTCTAAAAAGTTAACTTTAAAAATGTGGGGGTAATTAGCCCCATTATCTCCATACTACCATTCCTTTATTATCCCCATTACCTTTATTATCATCATTACCCCTATTAAACCCATTACCACATTATCCCCTTATCATATTACATACATTTCCTACATTACGACAATTGACCTAATTATCTACATTACCTTTATTAACCCCAATATCCTTGTTATCCCCATTACCCCCAATTTACCTCAATGTCTTTATTGTCCTTATCACACAATTACCCCCATTATTCCCATTATTCCCATTACCCCCATTGCCGTACATTACCCCCATTACCTCTATTACAAAGTTACGCTTGTTTTTCAGAGGAAAGAGTTCTTCACAAAGAAGCTGCTTGAATAACCCCAATGTCTTGTGCTACATTTGTGGCCAATATACTGTATAAACTATCACAGATTTTGTTAGACAAACTTATCAAGGTTATTTCGGCGTAGTGCTTGAAGATAAAGACAAGTCCTGGGCTCCCCATATAGTGTGCAAAACGTGTCGAATCTTTACGACAATGGACAAATCAAAAGAGAAAAAGTTTAAAATTTGGAGTATCCATGGTATGGAGAGAACCCAAAAACCACCACGATAATTGTTATAATTGTTTAGTTAATGTAAAAGGTTTTAACAGATACAATTAAGGCAAATGGGAATCTCCTGATTTAGAATCAGCACGAAGGCCTGTGCCATATAACGAAGAGATTCCCGTACCAGTATGTACCACATTGGCAGATATTTCGATGTCAGAAGTAGAAGAAATTGAGGATCAGTACAGTAACAGCATTGAAAGTGAATATGAGGGAATACAATCAACACCCTAGCAGTTCTCCCAAGAAGAACTGAATGACCTGATACGGGATCTTGGTCTATCAAAGCAAGGTTAAAAGAAAAAACTGTCTACAGCCAGATATAAAAGTAACAATTTATAGAACACGAGAGGTTACATTTGTTCCTTTTCAGTCAAGATAAAGATTTTTTTATTGCAAATGGGAACTCAATTTGTTCCAAGTGACCGGCGACTGTTCATAGATAGTTCCAATAGAAGCCTTAAGTGTGTTTTGCTACACAATGGCAACCGATATGCTTCAATTCCTATCGCTCACTCAACAAAACTTAAAGAAGAATATTAAAACATTAAGGTAGTATTGCAAAAAGTCTTCTATGAAGAGCATCAGTTTTCCATTTGTGTGGATCTAAAAATGGTGAACTTCTTGCTTAAGCAGCAAGGTAGGTACACGAAACACCCTTGTTATATCTGTTAGTGGGATAGTAGGGCGAACCAAGATCATTGAAAGAGGAAATTGGCCAATAAGACAAAATATGATTGTAGAAACAGCAAATGTCATCAAGGGACCATTGGTTGACCGTGAAAAAATCATTATCTCACCCCTCCACATCAAGTTAGGACTAATGTAATAATTTGTTAAAGCTTTAAATAAAGATGGCGAGTGCTTTAAATACATATGTAGATCGTTTTCTAGGCTAAGTATGAAAAAGCTAAAAGCGAGTATTTTTAAAGGCCCTTAAATTCGCAAACTTATTAAGGACTCTAATTTTACAAATCACATGATGACACTTGAAGCTGCTGCTTGGTGTAGCTTTGTTTCGGTGATCAAGAACTTCTTGGATAACCAAAAAGCGGACAATTACGAGCAACTGGTGCAACAGATGTTATTGAACTTTAAAAACCTAGGTACTAATATGAGTATTAAAGTACACTTTCTTCATAGTCACTTGGATACATTTCCCGACAATCTTGGCGAGTTAAGTGAGGAACAAGGTGAAATATTCCACTAGGATATAAAAACGATGGAGGAAAGATATCAGGGCCGATGGGATAAGCATATGAATACAGACTATTGCTGGAGCGTCCAACGTGATGTTCCTGACAGTCCCCAGAAAAGAAAATCGTATAAAAAAAGCTTTTTCCCTACGAATTAGGGCTGGCCCCAGAATTGATCGACAGGCTAAATGATCGACAGGCTAATTGATCGACAAGCTAATTGACCGACATCCACTGAGCTATTTCTTGCATGTATTATATAATATTTATATCTAAAATTTACTTATTTTTATAATGTTTAACAGATTGTAAACTAAGAGGGAATAAAACAACTATCGTTGTAGATATCAAGAAACATCGAAGTTAACTAACAAGCCGCTGTCCTTTTTGCTAGCTTTAAATATCAATTCACTGTTCTTTTAAAATACAATAAATTTATCTCTATCTTCTTTCGTTCACGTAATTCTTAAATCCTTACATTGTATTTTCACCGTGCGGAAAATATACCATTAACGATTGTTTTCCAATTATCTATTGTTCACACTTCACATGAAATTTTCCGTTAAAATTTTTGTCATAGTTGATTATCCGCACTCTTTGTCCCACGTCTGCTAATCTAATTACAGAAAATTTCCTAACTTATTTATGTATTCACAACGCCATGTAACTTTCATAATATCGTTAAAAATAGAATGGCGTTATCCCGTTATCTCCAGGCACATCGACTTAATCCCGAAAAACACGGTCCCATAACCGTAACCGTAACATTTAAAATTTTTATTAAGGAAGCAATTATTAAAACTTCGTTATGAAGGTACAAAGTATATCGGGAAGATTGTTACACTCGAAAAAATTTATTATTTATCGTTAGGTGTTTGTATTAATTTTACAGTTATTTTGATGGATATTAAGACAAAAAAAAATATTATGTGTATCAAAAAGACGTAATATTTAAGGTACTTAAGAAAAAGTTTTAATACATTAATAGGAACATTTTTAACCAAAGGTCCGTCAAATAAAGGACAGAGAATCATAATAATTCATGCAGATTCGAGAAAGAGCTTGATTTCAAACGGTTTGTTGTTATCAGCAAAAAAAAGAATTCAAATTTGGATTATTATCAGGATACAACCGCAGAACTCTTTGAAATATGATTCAAAATCTACTTATACATTACCAAATTTACTGGATACGTAAGCTGTCATAGCTGAAAAGGCAATAAATTGCCAAATAGTGCAAAACACTAAATAAGAACTTCAATGATATTTGTTAAGAGTGATATTTTTTTTTTTGAAAAAAACTAATATTTTTAAAGTAGTAGCAGCTTTTTACTTTAAAAAATCATATAATATTAATACAAATATTGGCCACTTTGCCGATTTCACTTCATTTTGTATTGAATGGTAGAATAAATAGAAGAGCCAGAAGTGGCAGGTACGATTCATATCTACACCGACGGTTCTAAAACAAAACAAGGCTCAGGATGTAAAATATACTCTAAATTCTTAAACCTAAACATAAAATAGGCTGTGAGCAATAGTGCCATGTGTAGTTTAAACAGAGCTAACGTGGATTCTCATAGCAGCAAAAGAAATAACCAGAAACAATATCACTGGAAGGAACATGCTCATCTATACAGATAGCAGACAAGCACTACTCACCCTGAACAGACAACGAATTTATTCAGGGTTAGTACTAGAATGTCACGAAGCTTTGGCCAAAGTATCCATCTACAACGTGGTCACCTTAAGATGGATTAAAGGTCACGCCACATCGAAAGGTAACCGTCTTGCTGATTCACTAGCCAAGAAAGCAGCCAACCAAATACTTTTTGGACCTGGCCCTTCTATTGGCCTGACAAAATCGGTAGTAACAGACCTAATTAAAGAACATTCCCTTGTGAATTTCAAGGAAAGATGGGATGAAACAAGAAACTGCAGAGTTGCCAGGGAGCTCTTAAGTTATCCTGACAACACTGCAACAAACAAATACTTGACTATGACAAGACAGAATCTGCGCATAGTCACAGGCATTTTGACTGGTCATTGCCAAGTACAAAAGCATCTCCATATCATGGTGCTACCAGAATCCGCACTCTGCAGAAGATTTGTGTTCGGCGAGTAGGTATTGGCTAACACCGGCCGATATAAGAAAAGCACCTCTTGGCCACGTTATCAACTACATTAAATCTGTAGGTTGGCTCACGAGTTAGGAGGTGCCTATCTTCTCAGGAGGATGCACAATGGGCCTAATGAGACCGAAGTGCCGTGGGGTAACCCACCCTCCACACATTACAGATACAGATATTGGTACCAATTCTGTTTATGTGATTAAGTACAAAAATTTATATAATTTCAAGACTGGATCAGTCCAAATTAAATTCAGGGTAGTTTGACCTATTATGGGGTCAAAATCTACTTTGAGTCATTCCAATATTACAGTTGTCTGAGAATCAAAATCATAATAAATGACGGCTATTTGCAAACTAGAATAGATTCAAAGCTGTTTTTAGATGATTGGAACAAAGGTATAAAGAAATACGTGCATTAGACAAGGAACTTTTGATTTAATGTTAGAAGAAATTGGCATCGTAATAAGGATATCGTAAAAAGGGTTTGGTAAAATTTAGTACTCATAGAGTTGTCGTTTTTTCAAGATGGTTCTAACTTACGTAAATAGCCAAAAAGTTGCTAATATATTAGTGTACAATGGCTTTATCCATAGAAAGGAAAAAGTGATAGGTGAAATGACAATTTTGAACTGTGTCCAATACAATAAGTGAAAATGTTCCGAAAGAGTTTACACTGTGCGAAACGAAGCAGTAAAAAATACAAGCCTCAACGATCCTGTAGTTGCAGCCAAATTAGAAGCAATGCTTGTAATAAGATAAAAGAAATGGCGCATCAAGTTAAACTAACAACACAAAGTATATTAGCTACTGTTTCAAAAGAAATTCCTTTGGATGCAACTGGACTTTATATCACCAATATATTATTAAGGTGCGCGTGCGTGTAATTTATTTATTGTTGTTATTATTTTTTTATAATTATTATTTTTAAGATTTACTGAAACTTACCAGTGTGTAGGATTGACTCTTGCAACATTCATGATCAAAGTTAAAAAAAAATAATGTCATTGGATAAAGTATTAAACAGAAGAAAATAAAACAAAAGGTAATTTTATTAAAAAAAAATATTGTTAAAATAATGTACCCTGGGCGCCAGCAAAAGCTCGTACCTTGCAACACCTATTCAGTCTCAGTACGCACCATACACCTAATAACTTTATTGCTCCAAGCTAGCTATTAAAAATAATATTAATAATTTAAAATAACGATCCTCTTAGATCTGGTTGTGAGCCGAGTAGTCTTAATCCACAGGTGGGTTCCTTGAGCGTGAAGTTGCAGCATGTCATAAATATTAAATATGGTTGGAAATGGAGATCGGAGAGGTTATGTTGATATTTGTAGCGAAGATTTAAATAAATAAATGTATTTGTTCAGTTTTAAAAAGAAATTTATTTAAGAATTGTGTGATTAACTGTTTTTCTAACAGTGTACTGCATAAATATGAAGTGAATCACGTAAGTACTTAATTCAAGAAATGTTTTTTTTTTACCAAATTGATTGCATCAAAGCCAAAAGAGTTAGTAGATAGAAAGTAAAGTATTATTGTTCTAAAAACTTGTTTGGTTTTAAGTCTGTAGATCAATAACATGCATGATTATTCTAAATTAGATATAAATAGAAATGAATAGGTAATATCTCAGCCTAATTACAAAATAAATGTCAATGTTAATATGGGTCACTTTCGCATAAATTTAATTAGAATTCTGTTTGAATAAAGTTCGATTAGATTAGGTATGTTTATTTAACTTTTTTATATTTTTGTCTTATGGAAATAGTTCCTAGTTGTCAAGATTTATCGTAGCATTTTTTTTTATAGGTTTTCCAAATTTGTGCAGAAGTACCTTATAAAATCCTATTGGATGAATTGTGATGTTCCAAACGAGGTAATGCTCCAGTTTTCACTTATATTATTGTGGGAATAATATGTAGGCAATCCAGTAATTGAAGTTTCAGCGGCAATTTTCAAAAATTCGACAGCAAATCTCCTGTCTTTACAGCTCCAATGTTAAAAAGTGTCAAAAAACCGGTAATACAGGAATCTTCCTTATCGACAGTTCGACAAAAATCCTAGGTGTTTACTGGGCAGAAAATAAAAAGGAACTGACCCCATTTTTGGTGGAAATTGCTTTTAATAAAGTTTGATGTCACAGCCTACTAAGATGTAAGTTTTTCTAAATTTTCCTTCAAAATCCATATATGAGGATGATTTATTATTTTTTTATAAACTTTTTCTCACTCTATTTTAAACACTTTCACTAGATAGTTTTTAGTTATAACAATTTTATTTTACAATATTTACAAAGATTTTCTAACTTATTCTTAAATTAAAGCTTTTGCATACACTTTTTTGTAAAACATTTCTTGAAATTATTGACCTAAAAAGTTACTTTATTTTATTATTTTTTTAATGGTATTTAGTTATTTTGAGATTCTAAATATTTGAAAATTGTTCTACAAACCATAATTAACATTATGTAAGCATTAATTCTCATCTACATGTTTTGATATTAAATATTTTTTTAGGATCAGAGATAGAGTCTACACTGACATCTTAATTTGTACCCAGCTATTAGGATTGGACTTCCCAAAGTGTGGATTGTGTCAGTAACTAATTCCAAAATTCCATTCTACAAGTTTCCAGTAAAATTATTGTCAAAAGAGTTTTATTTGTGATATTAAATTACATGTGAAGTCAAATTTTACATGTTGATGCTCAAAATTTGTAAGTATTATTAGTTCATATTCATTTATAATTTATTGTACACTGTTAGAAACCTATTATGCTTTCATAGCTTAAAATTAAATCAACATTGTTACATTATTTATTTATTTTTCTATAAATAATTTAACAGAAACCTTAATAAGTAATTTTAATTTGTTATTATTTTAACTTATGTACATTTCACAATTCTAAAATATTTTTGACCAAGGTATTGTCCGTTACAATATATCTTTCATAAACCATATAAATGTATAACAGAACAAATAGAAGTGCCAGAAGTGGCAGGTGTGATTCATATCTACACCGACGGTTCTAAAACAAAACAAGGCTCAGGATGTAAAATATACTTTAGATCCTTAAATCTAAAAACAAAATTGTCGGCAAACAATAGTGCCAGTGTAGTTCAAACAGAACTCACGGAGATGCTCATAGTTGCAAAAGAAATCACCAGAAACAATATCACTGAGAGGAACATGCTCATATATACAAATATCAGACAAGTACTGTCTCACCCTGAAGCACTTCTTGGCAACGTTGTCAACTACATTAAATCTGTAGGTTGGCTCACGAGCTAGGAGGTGCCTATTATCTTAGGAAAATAAACAATGGACCTAGTCACAGATACAGAACTGCTGTTGATACCCATTTAGAATGGACCTTAATTGGTAAGTACCAAGCACCAGGAGCGAAAGTAAAAATTCATAACAAGGGGACTAGACGTCCTAGGTGTTAACGTATTGACTCAAAGTCCAAAGAATTGTCTCCAGCAGCTGTGCACCATTTTCGGCAAACTGTTTCTAGAGAGTTAGCCGGTAGATGGATTGTCCACTTGCTGTGGATTGAAGGCCATCTTAATCTTTTAACTAATTACTTCTCAGCTCTTCGTAGGCTTAATTCTACTATTAGAAAGTAAAAATTAAAAGGATGGATGTCTGAATTCGATTAAATTTCTGAAGGCATCATAGAACAAATTCTCCCCCCAGAACATTATTATTTACGTCATAGACATAAAAGAAAATTGCACGACTAGAGTTAGACCAGTCTTTGACGCGTCATCATTCTATAAACAGCCTCAATGTTTTATTGATTCAATTATTTGATTGAGCAAATTTCTTTGATTTTCTAAAATTTAGAACAAAATCACTAGGTGTTACTGCTGACATTAAAAAAATGTATTTTCAATGGGGCTAAATAATAGAGATAGAGATTTAAAAAAAAAGGAAAGCTAAAGGGTACTGATCCACTTCTGTCTCTACATGTAAATAGTGTTTCCAATGTACTTGGTTTAGCATGGGATAGAAGAGAAAATATTTTATACATTTCTCCTGTTAGTTGGAAAAAAGTGAGCTAAGAGAAAATTACTAAAAGAACTTGGCTTTCTATGACTCATAAGGTATTCGACCCAATAGAATTTACTTGTTCTGTAACGGTGTATACAAAATACTTTTTTAACGAACCTTGTAAGATAAATTAGGATAAGAAGAAGATGAATTAAGCGAAGAAATTAAGTCTACATTTTTTAAATGGGTAGATGGTCTTTCATTTTTGACTCATTTAAAGATCCCTAGATATTTTTTGGTATTTGGTAGTGGCAAACGGCTTGATGCTTGATACATAAATTTTGTGATGCCTGTCAGACTGCTTATGTTGCTGCTCCTTTTGTTAGGATACTAACTGAGTCAGGTTTAATTAATTTATGTAAAATCTAGAGACGCATCTATTAAAAAGAAGATTTCTATATTCAGATAAGAATTGATTGCAGCTACTATAGGATCACGTCTTGTTAAATTCATAGTTATTTTGGTCTGACTCATTGACAGTTATAGCCTGGAATAATAGGAATAACCAATGGTCAGTTTTTGTCAAAAATAAGGTAGCAGAAATCTTAAGATTCACTCAAAAAGGGCAATGGTTCTTGATTTCTGGTTCAATGAATCCTGCAGACCTGCCATGACGATGTTTAGCAAAAAAATCTGATGTGTCCAACACATGACTTTCCTATCTAGTTATATAAATGTTTAGAGGATAAACTAAATATATACATTGTCCACATACATCTACCTCGAAACATTTTTCTATAGATATTCATGGAAAACGAAAATACTGAAAAATTTTAATTTCCTACAATTTTTTTTTTCTTTACGGTCCATTTTAGAAAAATCATGTATAAACAAAAAGTATAGAGATCGATACCGCAAACAACTTTTATTTCAAAAACTTTCATAATAAAAATCAGAATTTTGCACATTTTGTCAAATTTCTCGAATACGGACCATTTCAGGAAATTTTTACATAACACAAAAATTACAGATAATAATATTAGAAGTAACTTTTATTTAAACAATTTTCCTCTCCAAACATAAATAACAGATATATTCCATAAAATATAAAAACGGCCTCCCATAAAGTACCCCCCCAGATGTTCCGACTTTGTCCAAAATCTAATCATTTCACGTCAGGCCGAAATAAACCTTAAGTTTAAAATTTAATGTTTTTTTCTTCATCCGTTTTTGAGTTTTCTTCAAAATTCGAAATTTACACATTTTCTCAAATATCTCGAATACGGTCCATTTTAGAGAAATTATGTAGAGAATAAAAATTATAGAGAATTATATTACAAACAACTTTTATTTGAACAATTTTTATAAAAAAATATTTTTTTTACATTTTGTCAAATTTCTCGAATACGGACCATTTTAGGAAAATTTTGTATGGAACAAAAATTATAGATAATAATATTAGAAGTAACTTTTATTTAAAGAATTTTCTTCTCCAAACGTAAATAACAGATATATTCCATAAAATATAAAAATGACCACCTATAAAGTACCCCCCCAAATGTTCCGACTCTGCCCAAAATCTAATCAGCTCATTAGACGCTTAAACAAAGCTTAAGTTTAAAATTTGGTGTTTTTCTGTGTATCGGTTCATGAGTTATGCGTTATACAGACACACACACACACACACACACACAGACACACACACAGACACACACACAGACATCATCGCGAAAATAGTCAAAACGGATTCAGGGGACCTCAAAACGTAAAAATCCGTCGAAAACTCGAGGTCGAAAAAAATCATGATTCCTATACTTTCCTTATATCTGTATACAGATAGGAAAGTAAAAATTATAAAATTTTAGTGGGTGGAAGGGACCTGAATGATTAGTGGTCAGTTTTCCAATCGCAGTTTAAACTTTGATTCACCTGAGCTTGTATCTAATATACAACTGAGATTAACATCAACAGCGGTTACAATCGTGTCAATATAACAGTTGAGGTGATCTAAAGCCATATTCGAGCGGTCAACTGGTTTAAACATATTTCATGTGGTTTGAAAACGGTTTGACAATTCTTATTCGGGTGACAAAACAATGACGTCACGTTGAAATAAGTTTAAACCAGCTGCATCTGTTTTTGACACGTTTCTCTGAGATCGGTTCAAAGAAATAGAAATGTCAAATAAATGTCATCAGAGACAAAATATTTAAGCAGAAAAAAAGAGGATTTAACTGTCTGCGTAGATGAGGAGACTGCAGAACTATTAAAAGGTAAGTAGTATTATAATGTTATAGGTTAAAATAGCTCATTTGAATATTACCTCATGTGCAATAGTTGATTTAAAGATGTATTATTTTTTTTTTTTTTAGATTCGCAATATGCCGCTAAATATTTAGCTATGGTGAGACATGCGATAGCAGGGCCATCCTCTAAGCCTATAGAAGAAGCTGATTATCAACAATCCGAACTATTCCATGTTAAAGAAGTTGACTCTCAACAGTCCAAACAACTGCAGGCATCATCTGGGAACTCATCAGAGCCAAACCTTCTGTGTAAATTATGGAAAACATCACATGCAACAGAGGATGACAATAAAGCAACCCTCACATTGTTATCTTTAAGAAAATCGATGGACTCGCAATTTAGTGACAAAAAAATCCACAAAAATGAACTATGGAAAAGAATAGCTGAAAAAATTAATCAAATGGGATTTTATGTAGGAATTGGTATTGAAGGCAGGGAAAAGGTGAGACAAAAATTTGCCAATATACATGCAAAATATATCAAATACTGTGATGCCTGAAAAAATACTGGACAGGGAAAATTGAAAGTTCCAAAATTTTATGAAGAAATGGAGGATATATTGGGCGACAAACACAAAGTAAACCCCATAATGAACATTGATTCTTTAAATGTCATTAAATCAACCAATAATTCTGAATGTATTACCATACAAGAAGCTGAAGCTCAGTCTTGTTGTACATCTACATCCATTTTTGATGATAGCACAACTTCAGACACACTTAGTGATGTGGGTAACTCAACACCATCATCATCAAATCAGTTTAAAAAAAAATCGCTTCACAAAACTAACTGCTAGATCAAGACCAAAAAGTAGCCAACAAAATTGTTTGCAAGAGTTAGTAAATATTCAAAAACAAAACCAGACTAACCGTAAAGAGAAATTTAAAACCATGATGGAGTTTTTCCAAGAAACAAACAACCAAAGACAAACAAATAATGGCTCTTATTAAAAGAGGATACAAAAGAAAACTTTCTAGCGAAAGCGAAAGTGAATAGTTAGGTAGTATTTGTTAGGTAAAATGCTAATTTAATTAGACAATTGTAGGTAAAACAAGTTTCAGAAGTATTTGTAAATACTAGCAATTGTTAGTTTGATTGTTGTATGTGTTTCTGTTCTTAAAAATAAAAATCGTTTTGAGCTTAATTTTGTTTTATTATCTACACTATTTTGAAATAAACGCAGTAATTTCTGATCTTTTAATGATGCCCTCATCTTCCATATTACCAGCATTGGCAATATATTCCTCTTCATGAACAGTTACCAATGGTTCGTAGTTTTCCCAAAAGTCTGAGTGTACATAACAAAAATTATGAAGGATACAACAGGCAGAAATAATCCTAACTGCTTTTTCAATACTGTTGACATTAATATATTTTAGAATTCTCCATCTTGATTTTAATATACCAAAGGTATGTTCCACTGCAATTCTGCATTTACTTAGATATGTATTATACTTGGTTTTCTCATCAGGCAACCTCCCAATGGATCTAAAAAATTTGGAGTGAGGGTAGCCATATGTGAGTAGTAGGGATTAAGTGTAAGGGGTTAAAGAAAAGGTCCTTTATTTCTCACAAGTCTCACTTGTGAGAAATAAAGGACCTTTTCTTTAACCCCTTACACTTGATCTAAAAAAAACTTAAAATACATAAATAAGTTGTAATTTAAAATATATATACTCACTTGTATGGGGTTAACAACCATTTGAGCAAAGGATAAGCTTTATCACCAACTAAATGATAATCTTCATAAAAATACTTAGAATAACCTCCATCTTGAGCATTTAAGTAAATTTGTGAATTTTTGAGAACCTTCAATAAAAAAAACATGTTTCAATTGTGGAAAAATATAAAAGAATCATGTCGGCAATACAGGATACTTTTTTTAATAACTTTTTCAACAAAACTGAAAATAGGACACATACTTAAAAATTTAAATCCGGTTCAGGAATTGTGTATGTTAAAATTTAGGCTAATAATAAATCTTTATGTACAGTGAGCATCATAGGTCTTACCCCTCCACCCCTCCCCCAACTAACTCGTTACTGGAGTCTTGTTAGGAAAATCACCGAGACACGTCGATTTTTGATTTCTAAGGTGTACATTTTTGTATGAATAGTTTACCCTTAATTTCATCCCTTACTGGAGGGGAGCCAACCCTTTCGAAAAATTTAAATGGTATGGGGCGGTGAGTGATAGCTCATTTGAAAGAGGGTTTTATTCTCTATTTAACCGTGCAAAAAAAAATTAAATTTGCTTTATTACGTGTTGATTTAATTTTTGTAGGTTGTTTCTCCAAAATTAATCGCTTGAGATCTAGATTTGATGTGTTTAGGAAACGCTTTTCTGTTAAACATATCTTTATATGTCAAACATATCAGTAGCATAGGGATACATTGAATCTGGAACATGATATAACAAATATATTAGATAACACAGTAACATTTATATTGTTGTTCCGTTAAGGCATACTCGACAGTCACAACTATTCTTTGAGAAAACCCATCGTACAAACTATGGACAAAGAGCTTTCATGAATAGGCTTTTGTGCAACTATAATAAGCACTATTCTCACTGTGATATTTTTAATTGTACGTTATTATCTGTTAAGAGGATGCTTGAATTTTAAAATTTTAGGTTGTTTTCTTGTCTTGTATGGTGTTAGACTTTGTTTTTTAGACGTTAAATGTATTTTAAAATTTCTGAAGAGTTTTGATATTTATATATTCGGTTTTTTTTTATGTATATATAATTATACTTTAATTGTTGTTTTAGCTTTAAGACTGTGCCATTTGGAATTCATATTTCTGTAGTGTACTTAAGACAAATAAATAAATAAATAAACATTAAAAAAGTTATTACATACCTTAAAAATAACCAAAAAATAAATTAAATTTAAATAGAGAATTGTATATATTTATCAAGAGTATTTTCACCTTTTCGGGGACACACTGTATATTCTTGTTGAAAGTAATTAATAAACGTAAACTTATTCTACATTTTTTTTTTATTTTTATAGGTGGATTATATACTAGAATTTTTTAATATGTAGACTGTAGACCAAAACAGTTATTCTGACACTTTAAATGACAGTTTTCAGAAAATCTAATTTAGAAATAAATCAATAAGTAAAGTAAATATTTTTATCGCCGCAATTCCACAAAAAAATCCTTTAACAATTACAACTATAAAATATACTTTTTTTCAGTGTACAGTTTCTTTACAAATATACACAAACCGATAAAAAAACTCCAAATCGCTTCTGAGGCCTGAGTTTCTTGCTTTCCGGGGATTTAGTCGTTAAAATCGGAAAAGCATAAATTTTTATGGAACATTTGCTAAGAAAATTGTTCGGATTAACCGTAGTTGTAGAGTAATTTTCAACTGAAAACCATCTAAATTCAAAAAGGCGCACAGATTGGCCGACGTTACAATGGTCACTCCATTTCCTTTTCACTTAGCCAATCACCATTTTTATGTAAATGTAGAAAGGATCTTGGAACATCTGAAAGTGTTAAAGGTAACAATTTTCGGTGATTTTCTTTTTATAAGTGGGGTGTAATAAGCAAAAATATGAAGGGGAGTTCTGGAAGGGTTCTCAGAAGAGATTTCTAAATAATAATAACAGTAAACGGTATTGCTAAAAGGGTGAAAATCATTATTACGAATTTGTTTTTTATTATTATTATTACATGTGTTATCGAGTGGACGAAGTTAGCCCCCCTTTTTTTAAAATTTAATTTTTTTTAGTTGTTCCAAATTGTTCTACGGTTGTTCTAAACTGTTCTAAAACAAAAAATATTTTTTTTCCAAAATTAACTTTAAAATTTAAAAAAATTAAAAAATTGCAGTAGCCCCCCATTTTTCAAAAAAATAATTTTTTAATGTTGTTCTGGATTGTTCTAGAACTGTACTAATTTGTTCTAGAAAATTATTTCAAAAATTTAAAAAAAAACCTATAAAAACCAAAAACAAAATTTTTTGATAGCCCCCCTTTTTTCAAATTTTTAACTTTTTTTTGTTGTTCTTAGTTGTTCTAAAAGTTAACAAAATTATTCTATAAATTTAACACATTAACTTAAATATAACTCTTGGAACCTGAAAAAATGAGAGTTTGCACTGCAGCTATGATGCGCTAACTGGCTGAGTTCAGCGTGTAATTTTTCTACTGTAATACCCCATTCATACAGACATTCAACAACAAACATTCAAGCACTAAGAATTCTAACTGTAGAGTGTGATTGGCTGCGAAATTTTTTTGTACCAATCACACTTTAGTTTTTGAATTCTTAGTGCTTAAATGTTAGTTGTTAAAAGTTGTATAAATAAGGTGTAAACAGTGTTGTAACGAAATAGACGTTAGACGGGTACTAAATGAAAACACATATTTATTATACATACAACAAAATTTATTTTAATACGACAAATTCACAAACAACACAAATTTATAAAAATACATAGGTATGGAAAACAAAATATTTCTTAAATTAAATATAAATATATAAATACTTAAATATAACTTTATTTACAGAATTAATTATAAAATTAAAAAACAATTGCAAAAATATTATTAAAAAAATAATAAACAAAATGGACAAGGCAATTAATCTTTAAAAATTAAAATTAAGCATAATGATTTACAAAACATATATACAAACTTGGGGTTTAATATTATGTTCCTCATTTTTTATTACTCTTGCTCTTTTTAAAATATCATTATATTCAATATACTTATTATTATTTAATGCAATTGCGGAAAAATGACCTATAGAAGATACTCGTTCGCTTCCTGAATATGTGACAATTCCTGCTAGTTTGTAATGTTTATCCGACACTTTCAAAAATTTAAAAAATGCATTTAATTGACAAGTTTCGTTTAAACATTCTATAAACAATACTTCTTTTAACTCAATTTTTTGTAAAGGTTTATTACCACAACACATTAAATTCGAGGATCTTCCAAATTCAATCGTTTCCTGCATATTTAAATAATTATTATTTTGAATATAATTAAAATTAATTGGTACAAATACCATTTTAGTAGTGCTAGTTTTCTTACATGTTAAGCATTCTATGCACTCAATGCAACTGGGACTATTAATAAATAATTTTTCTATTAAGAAAGAAACAGTACATGCGATATCCATTACAAAAGTGTTCTTTTTGTACAATATGCAATTAAATATACATTTTAATATTTGTAATCTTTCTTTATAAATTAGATTACACGCCCCGTTTTTTATAAACAAGTTTACAAATTGTAGTTCGTTAGAGTTTGATTTTTTGACGTATTCATAAAAAATTTCGTTAATACAACCAATTGCCAAAATTTGTACAATACTGTCAAAAGCACATGTATTTTTTAAAATGTATTTTCCGTCATTTTCAATTATTACTGGTTGGCATTTGCTACCATTTTGTAGCAGCGAAATAGACAATTTATTTTTTGCGTTATCTAAAGTAAGATTCCAATCGGGTCTGGGATCAATATATATGCGAGTTTTAGATGTTGTAGGTGTGTTTTTATTTCTCCAATTTTGTTCTTTAACTAATTCTGTGTTATCATCTTTAAAAATATTTTCTTGCTCTATAATTTGGGTTTGCAAAAGCTGATTTGTTTCTTTTACCGTAGATTCAGTATTGCCTTTAAAACTATTAAAGTTAAGTTTATACTGAACTGCTGAATCACTAATAGCAACCTCAACATTACTATTTAAATGAACTTTATTTTTTACAGCTAAAGCAAGCTTTGCTCTTCCTCTAAAAGAAGTTAAATGCGTACTTACAAATTTATCGACACGCAATTAACTAAAGGCAAATCTAAATAGTGCTAATGTTAATTTAATTTGTCTGTTTTCAAAGAAACAGTCATAAATGTCGGTAATAATACGCAGAAACAATCTAAAAATATTCATTTTGGGAATTTTTGCCTAATCTTGGAAATTCCGTACTTTTAAAAGTATTTGTGTACTCAGAAAAAATATTTTCAAACCAACAAATGATAGTGTTTTACTT